GAGCAGAGGGGTAAAGATAGGGACAGAGGGACGTAGTGCTCGTCTGTTTGTCTTTCACTTAAACTGCAATGAGGCAAGGAGGGCAGGCAAGGCTGTGGTCCTTTGGGGGAACATTCAGGACCCACTCCAAGAAACGAGCAAGCATCAGCTCTTCTTCCCTCACACTCCAGCTCCTCTCTGGCACTCAGGGTTGCAGCAGCCCACACCCCTCCTCCCTCCACCTACCCTTTTATAGTCAGACTACAATCCTCCTTCCAAAAATAAATCGAGGAGCAGCCAGAGGAGACAAAGTTGAAAAGTTTTAGACTTTCGTTATTCTATCCAGGACGTTAGCTGGACAGATTTATCATTCCATTTTCCTAAGCTCCCCTACAAATAAATAATTCTAGGGTATGCCCAAATTACTCAGCCTCTTGACCCAACATGTTTTTGCAATTACTTGGCACAACTGTATGCTACTTAAATTAGGTAACAGTCACCAGGTTATTTTTAGACCCTAGCAACACATACACACACACACCAGGCACACACACACCAGGCACACACACACCAGGCACACACACCCAGGCACACAGCTAGACCTAGGTTGTTGTACCCCCGGGAGAGAAGGGGACAAACTACCCTTTGACTGGCATATTTCAATGCACAGAAATACTGCCGAGCTCCATAGAGAGAGTGCTCAGCATGTATCCAGGCTCTGCTGAATACTTTGCAAGCCTTCCTGAGTGAACATCACAGGCGTAACTCCAGTGCCTTGTCTTCTTTTTACCAATGAGGAAGCCAAAGAACTAAAGGCTAAAGCAACTTGCCCAAGGACATCAAATGGAGGAACCTAGTGTCGTCAGGCCCACTGATCGCCATTCTTCCTACAATTCTGTACTTCTTCTGACAGATCTAATATTCGGCATGTAGCCTTGAGTACTAAACCAGGCATTCGGAATTACAGTTACAAGAATAAAATAAGTTTGCAAAGTAGATATGCCTTAAAAGAACAGACAGAGCAAGGAGGGATATATTACTCCCCGCAAAGAAAGCCGACTAAGAGGACTTTCCCAGGGTCTCTAGTTTCTTGGCGTAGCCATTTAGTCATGAAACTCTGCACTGCTTACTAATGAATATTTCAGAATCTATTTTGACTAAGGAAAACTGTGAGACAAAATTTGCTCTTTATTCAGGAGTCAAAAGGAAGGTTTACAAGCTTTGGGTGGGTATGTATAACATGAACTTACATATATTTTTACATACATGCCATCTTTACATTGAAAATAGTTCAAATGTGTTTGTATATTTTAATAAAAAATATTTCTAATATGAAAATGCATAGCGGAGAGTAGGGCAAAGGTTTTAGTGTAAATCTCACTCCCTTGCCTGACTCCTTCCCTTCGCATCAACCTTTCTAAGCTATTTCTCTGTCAGTCTTTTAAGTCCTTACCTGCTATCCCCACAACCCTTTCAAAAAGCCTCTGGCATAGAGCAGAACTATAGAAACCCACAGCAGACAGTCTACCATTGCTTTGTAAGAGCACATAGCAAGTACAGGCCTGGACTCTGGCGTTCCAATTGAACAGACAGAGATAGACCCTGAGGGGGGTTCTCCAGGAATGGGTGGAGGCTTCTCCTTAGACTCAAGACCCAGTCACTAACAGTGGCATTCCACAATTGAAGAACACTCCTGGGTAGGTATATGACACTAAGTATTTAGCTGGGGGGGAGGGGGAGGGAAATGTCAACACCACTCTATAAAATACTCCCAGCTCAATTAAATATATGACACTAGCTCTCAACATTGACTATAGCGTACAGCAAAGATTATTTCAGAAACAAAGAAGAGAAGACAAATAGGGGAAACACATGTTTAATCTGGTTGGTGATAAAGGTGTTCATTTTGAAACTTTTGATCGTAAAGGTTTAAAGGCCATGGCTTCTATGAGGGAGCAGTAGGAGACATGCCCTTCCCACATACATAAAGGACAAATAATTTCCCTGACCCCAGCAATGTTTAAAAAGGGTGGTAGCTTTACAGATGTGACAGCAGAACAGCACCTCTCATCTTATAAGGTCAAGGACTGTCGAGCCTCCTTCCTTAGGTTTGAAATCAAGTTACAGTTGATCAAAACAACCAACATTAGGTGGAAAAGGTTACGATTATTTCAAAGACAGAATCCCTAAAGACTTATTACTTTGGATCTCTCAGATGAGGTTGACCAGTAGCAAAGGTCTGGTGCCATATATCCTTTGGTGGGTAAGAATGAGCCAGAGACTACAGAGTCTCAGACCTAGGTCACAGCGGGGCGGGGACTATAAATTAGAACAGTAACTTAATCCCAGGGGCTTCTGTGCCTCTGATCAGTTTCGTCCCAACCTGACACTGCTTGACTAAAATGGCAACCCAGCCGCCACTGAGCTCGACAGGCAGCTCCAAAAATGGAGAACGTGGAATTGAAGCTGAGGGACATAAAAGTTGGAACGGGAGGGTAGCAACCGGTGTTTACAAACATGAATCAGAGTCTCAGACGGATCAGGCATCTTTGAGAAAAAAAAATTTTTTTTCTGAAAATAAATCAACAAGACCAACCATATAGTTTAACCACCTACCCCCACCCCAGCAGCCACAAGCTCCCTACAAAATTCACTCATTCCAAAATGGTACCATTCCCGCACTAGCTGAAATACAATCTTAGCTCACCAACAAGGTGAGTCCTAAAATAAACCTCAGAAGAGAACCCAGACCAGGATGGTCTGCTTGATCCACTCAAGAACCTAGGAGAAGCTACACACCATGCTTGTTGAGAGAAAAGCATCTCATCCTCCACCTCAAGGGCACTCTGAAACTAACCTCTGGTTTGATCAGAGAAGAGGAGAGCAGGGGACTCAGTGTCCCACCCCGCTTCTCTCTTCCCTAACTTCGTCCTGACTTTAGGCCATTCCTCCCAAAGGTACCAATTTAATAATAATAACAAAGTAGACGACCGGACCTTTACTCCTGAACTACATATTTTCAACCAAATTCCAAGATAATTGAAGGAAAATTCCCCCCAAAACTACAAATAACCCAACCTCTACCACCAGAGCGTCTTCTGAGCTGGCCGCCACGGTGTCGAACCAATCCGAAATGACCAGCTCTCAGCGCAGCTGCCCAGGGCGCCTGGTGGTGAGGTCAGCAGCGTGTCCAGCCCCGCCCCACTGAGGCAATCTTTACTCTGACACTGATGAGCAAACCCAGGCTGCAGGGATCCTCAGATATATCTATGGGAGAAGGGTAGAAGAATCCCTTCTCCCTCGGCAGTGCCCAAGAGAGAGACATTTCTCAGCAACTGATGGGCCATCCCTCACCCCACCAAGCTCCATAGCAAGAGACAGGAGAGATGCACACATTCTAATCAGTCCTGTGTTCGAATTTAGAGCCATCATAAACTAAGCTGTCTGCTTACTCTTCTTAGATGACATAGACCAAAAGGGCTGATTTTTACCAAACCTATCCCATCTACAAGAGAAAAAAAGAATCCCAAAAAGCAATTTGCTACAAGTGGGGAATTTGCAGATGATGTTTTATCATCTGTATTAAAAAAAAAAAAAAAAAAAAAAAGACAAAGCAAGATCGTGCCAAGAGAAGAGAAGCAGGCTAAAGCCACAGGGAGTTTCTAAAAGTCAACCCAACAAAAATTCAGAAGAACACAGCTACACACAGAATCCTGACATATTTGAGACTCCAAGAAAACTTACTGCCACCGCCATAACAGTTCCCAGAGCTTCTAGAACTGTGTAGAACTGTGAGTCCACATGCCCCACAGAAAGCTACATCTCTGTGACAGTTGTCCACAAAGGTGGCAAAGGATTAAAGTGGGAAGGGGCATTACTTAACAAAGATGATTAAGCCACATTCCTAAGAGCAAGGAAAATGCTTAGAGCTGTCCCACAAAGACAAATCCTAGCTCACTTCCCTAAGCAGCCTGTCCCAAGTTAGATGTGAAAAGCTTTCAAAAGAACCCAGCACCGCTGGAGATCAACAACCCTTCAGTGCTGGAGATGGGCCACGACACCCCACCCCACCCCACCCCCACACACAATGGTTCAAAACACAAAATGAAGATAGTTATCACTCTCCATCATGACTGGGTAGATATTATCAGAAGAGTGATTCTCAGAGCCCAAAAGCATAGTGTCGGAGGACAAAGATGAGCAAGTGGGTCATATGTACACGGTCAGGGCAACACTGTATGTTAGAAGCTCAAAGAAGACTGGATCATCATCTATTCATTTTGGGGGTTCCAGTCATCATAGTTATCCTACACTAGAGGAACGTGATGCATGCACGACTCCTTCTAGGGAAGAAACAGAAGCTAACTGTTGTCAGGTGACGTCAGAAAGACTAGTGTAGGGCAGTTCATATCTCTATCCTCTGGAGCTTCCTCAAAGGAATGGGTGGATTTGGAGAGAATTCACACTTTCAGTAAGGCTTTAAGATAAAGATGTGTTCCTTTGTTGAAGATGACTTTATAAGCAATGTGAAAATCAAGGCAATCAGGCGAGGAAACAGGAAGGGTTTCTCCCACAAAGGCCTGGCACCTGTAGATGCAGCCTCCTCTGGTCCATCAACATTTGTTAGGTCTTGAGAGACAAAAATTTTCCAACCCACTCACCAACTGAAATAGAGCTACCAGAGAAGGCGTGACTTGAGATGCCATCTTGATTGTACAAGGTGCCTTCTGCAAACCATCTCAAGTGAAATGTCTGAGGCAACACGAAGTAGAAACCAGATCAAAGCTGGGACTCAGATCTGGATTATCAATTGATTGCTACTTGGATTTTCTTAATATACTAGAATAATAAGAAAAGGGTAGAAAGTGAAGACAAGAAGAAAGGCTATTTTGGTTCATGGTCCCTAGGGGTAAGAGAAGGCTGCTGATTGTAAGAGAATCCCATGGGGGAACCTAGCCGATCAGGACAGGATTTGAGGAAGGAATGTCGGAGGGAGGGTGGTGTGAAGGGAGAATCATTACCTTTCAATACCAGGGGTTCTTTGCCTTCTCTCTTCAGGGACTCGAGGACTATGTGAAGTGGTTGGGATGGCGTCACACGGCTCGGCTCATTGGTATTCTCATCATAAACTATAATTTCTTTGGAAAAGATCCTCTTGAAAGAGTCTTTGCCTTCTCTACAGGAAATCAAGTCTAAGACAGTGATCTTGCCCTGCTGCAGCCTCCGCCGGCTGATCTTATCGGCACAGTTAATGTGGACAGCTCCTTGGATGTGACTCTTGTTGTACTCCATGAAAGGCCTGCAGTCAATGATGACAGGACCCTGGCTGGGCAAGTGACTCTTGCTGCATTTGGTCATCTTCTTCGCCAGGTCATTGGGGTAGATGATTTTGATGCTGGCTAGCTGCTTGGGAGTCCCTGACACGGGGCTACCCACCCCACCCGATGGACTTAAAGAGCCTGTATTCTCATTGTTGTTGACCATCTGGTTAACAGGGCAGGTGGTCGAGGTTCCTATGGTGGTGGTGGCAGTGCCAGCAGCAATGGCTTGAGTCTGGGCCTGATGATCCTTGTCGTAGGTTGCCACAGTGCAGCAGCTAGTGCTGCTGCATCCGCAATTCAGGGAGCGGGCAGAGCCGCTGGATGAGGGCATATACGTCAGATTCGCAGCCTTGAGGGTCACAACGGCGGTGGCAATGACAGGAGCCTGGCTACCACTGCCCGGGCTGGCAGAGCCAAGGTAGCTAGAGTCTAAACAAAGGTTGAGATCCTGAGGTCGGACAGGCCTGGACAGTGCCACTACTACCCTGTCGTCTAAAGGAGATGGAGGCATGAGGATGCTGAGAACTGACAATTCAAGAAGAACTCAAGAGTCTGTAAAGAAGGGGAAAAAAAAGAAACAAAGAATAAAGTCACATGACATCAAAGCCCGTCTCATCCAATCCCGGGGAAAGACCTCTGCATGTCTCTGAGCAAAGTCAAAGTCCTTCTAGGTGCCCTTGGTCATGATACTATCAAAGGCTAAACTCCACTTTGATATATTCAGAGAGGATACGTGCCTGAGGGAGCCCATCCATTTGGATGCTAAGTCAAAGGTTAAAATTGTTAGAAACAGTAAAAAGACCTCCTTTCATGGACCTGCATCAAAGTTCAGCCTTAGTGAAGGTACAGGCACAGAGGACTGGATACAGTGAAGGCAGACAGGGCGTCTCTTAGATTTACTCTGAGCCTCCTCTCCTGTGCAGAAGTCTATTTCACCTGTGATGGATGCATCTGTCCACCCTGGCATGTACTGTATTTCATTTCTTTCCCCAGAGCCAAGGCAAAGAGACAAGCAAGAACATTGTCGGAGCTCACAGAGATGCACAGAGATGCACAGAAATGCTTGGCAGCTACAATTTCATGAGGGCTAGATGTCAACCTCCTGCAAATCAGAAGGAATGTGTCTTCCTAAGTCAGTCTCCGTGGCTAGAAGCTAATCTTGCTTTCCATTCTGGTGAGTCCTTTGAAAATCTCAACATCACCCTATTTAAAGCTCACATTAGCCTCTTCCAAATCAAATCAAGCCATATGCCTGCCTTACACTGTGAACAACTGTCCAAAAACCAAGCCTCCAAAGGAGTCATGTCTGGGAACCTCAACCCAGGCTGACCCATGACCATGACCCATTCCTCTGTGACCCTACTCATCCTTATCTGTCTCTGTGCTGTGCCCCTAAGCAAATAACAGCTTGAGTTTCATTCGGGTAGTACAGACTTTGCATCTCCTCTGGAGTGGCAACTTTGTAAAAAATGTTTCAGCCCTATACTGATATTCTTCTTGGAAATAGTATGCATTCTGTGAGGGCAAGCTCACTTGTCCCTTTACCACAGACAGGCTAATTGAGAAGCTCAGAAGTAGTGCCCACAGGAGTTACCTCTGCCTCCTCCAAGGGTGCCTGCAATGGGTCACTTACCTCTTCCCCTAGGCACAAGGCCACTCTATAACATAGCAATTCTGACTCCTCTACTAGAGAAATCAAACCCCAAGCAAGAGTCACTCATCTAAACGAACTTTAAGAGCTGTCTGGAAAAACATCAAGAATCATCGGTCTATTCATGACCGTCACTGCTCTCTGAGACTGAGCCAAAGTGTCACCAGCGAAATCCACACACGCACACCCAGGAGCACGTACCCACCCGTGTAGGAATATCCCTACTGACTCGGGTTTCTCTCACCCACCTTTGGTTGGGAGCAAAGAATCCAACCTCTTGCCTCCCTCCCTCCCTCTCCCTCTGCCTCCCTTGCGTAGTATTTTTTTTTTCTGAGAGAGTACTATTCCAGAAACTGTAACTGTGTCCCAGCTGGACCATGAACGCAGTCAAAATCTTTGCTATTGTGTTACCTGGTAGGGGACATCTGGAATCAGTAGCCCATTCCCTAGGAAGGGGACCCAGGAACCACTTTCCAGAGACACAGGCTGGGACCCGTACCTCTACACTGTGCTGCTCGCACACAGGCAGAGTGCGCGGAGATCTGCATCCCTGCAGCAGATAGCTCCAAAGCCATCCAGTCTGGCCCGGGAAACCTCTCACAAAAATAGCACTATCCCCCTACCCCCTTCCTCGCTAATCTCCCTTCCAGCACTAACAGGGACTGAAGAAAAAGCAAGTGGTTAAAGAATGCTCCTTCCCCACTCCTGGGGCACGCAGCATCCCTCTTCCATGCCACCCCTGAGCATCAGCAAAGCCTTGGGCTTTGAAAACTGCCATGAAGCATCTTAACCAAACCAAAACTCATTTCCCCCCTTCATCCCAGGGGAACCAGACCCAAAATCCTAAACCTTAGGACCTTCCTTACCTGATGTGGGTCTATCTCTGTCTCTCTGTCACTGTCTCTCTCTGTCTTAGTGTCTCTCTCTCTCTCTCTCTCTCTCTCTCTCTCTCTCTCTCTCTCTCTCACACACACACACACACACACACACACACACACACACACACACACACGGAACCCTCCACCCTCCGGCTCTGAGTGACTGTGATGTCTTCCACTTACTTCATCAATAAGCGGAGCCCTCTACCATCTGGCGCCCGCTCCAGCTATGCGCTCGCGCAGTGCGCCCCCATTCACTCAGCTTCATTGATCCCCAGCAGCAACACAGAGTTACTTTCTCTTTTGCTACAGCGTAAATGTAAGCTTTGGAGGGGGCGGGGCTGCCTCCGAGCGACGGCGCAATGCGCCAATGAGGAGTCAGAGACCGACGCCCGCTACATCACAGTGGCCTCTGACCAATAGGAGGGCGAGGAGGGCGGAGAAAGGGGCGAGGCCTCCTCGCGGGATGGAGGCCCGCTCGGAGGCGCTTGTGGGTTTGGTGTGTTAGAACGCGAGTGGTGATGTCATTGGCAACCAATCAAAAACTTAAAAGTGCTAGCCCGGGCCGGCTTGGAGCAGCGGCTCTCTATTTACATGTAAACCTAGGCAGCAGTACGCGGTTAACCCTTCCTGGGACTGAAGTGTCAATGGCTTGCTCTGGTCGCTCCGGCTAAAACTGGTTCTTCTGATCCTCCCCCGCCCCCTAGTGCGGACATCGGCCTCACAGGGTCTCTATTCCACCTTTTGACTCCAAGTGGAGTGTCCGTCCAACTTTCCCGAGGCCGGAGACGACTCGAAGCCGGGTCCCTCCATGGCTGTGGCTGCGCCGCGCGGGACGTGAGCTTGCACAGGGCCGGCCTCCCCGCAGCCCCGCTTGGCCCGGCCCGCAGATGTCGCTGCCCCTCCGGCTGCCCTACTGTTCTCCCGCGCGGCGGCTGCGCGCCGTGCTCCTGTTCCCCTACTTCTGTGCCCCTGTCACTCCTCCGCCGTCCCCAGCCTGTTCTCAGGAGCCCGACTCCGAACCCGAAGGCGGCACTCCGGAGAGCTTCACGGAGGACGACGCCTGGCTCTGTGCGGGTAGCCACTGGGGGCCCGTGCTGAGCGGCAGCGTGGGCTCCGTCCCGCAGGGCTGGGCGTGGCCGGGCCCTCCGAACGCCCCGCAAGCTCCGCAGCCCCGGCACCGGCCTTCTCCCACCGCGGTCCCGGCTTCTTCCGCGACCACCTCCCCTGGCGCGATGTTTTGGAGCCCTCAGTCCAACCGCCCCCCGGTGCTGGGTCGCCCCCGGCCCTCAGTGGCGCAGGGCCCTCGGCGAGCCAAGGAGCGCCAGCCTGGAACAGCAAGCGCCGGCGCGAAGGAGCCAGAGCTCGGGGTGAACTGCCAGAATGAGCGGCGCTTGAGGAGCGTGGAAGGGCCCACGCCCGGTCTCCCTGTTCCCCGAACTTTGTCCATCAGAGGGGTCGCTGGTCGTGGCATGTGTCCGGTGAAGAAAAGTGGGAAGCTGAGCAAGCCTGCTAGCGCCTTGCCAGAAAAATATCAGGGAAGGTGCAGAAGAGTGACCCTGGAATTCAAAGGAGTGGAAAAGCCCAGATGAAGTGTGACGAAGTTGCATCAAAGAATCCTAAAGCAATAGAGCTTTTTATACCTCCCTATCCCCTCAGAGAGGAAGACCAGAATGTGAAGTAATTGAAGTGAAATAAACATTATCAGCTCTGTGGAAAGTTCAGATGTTCTTAATGATGGGAGGTGTTTGCGTTAGACCCCATACGTTCTTTCACCATTGATGTTGATATAGGATCAGAAGGTGTCCAACCATCACCTTTTCTGGCTAGCTCTGTAAATTTAGCATTATCTCCCTTGAGTTGAGTACTTAACACAAGTGCGCACTGTTGTTGCAAAAGGATTTTTCTATAGCTCCATTCTGTCCACACACCCAAATATACAACACCCACACCTGAATGTCCGCACATTAGTGCCCAGGACACACCATTTGGTGCTTAGATCTTTGAGGGTCAGGGTCAGGCTAGCAGAGGAGTTAGTGTGTATTTTCCATAGAACCCAGAAAAGAAGTTCCCAGTGAAATTTTGTTGGCTTGTAGCTTAAAGGTTACAGCCTTTCTATCCCTGAGTATTTACTGGATGTGTGTATAATGGGGTCCCCATTTTTGGTTTGGGGTATTAAGTCTGATGCTTGTCTCTCCAGCCACAGTCGCTGTGTTCATCGCTGTCTACATTTGTAAAATGCAAATTCCCTTGCCCAGAAAAGGATAAAAAGATGCTTGTGGAAGCGATTGGGGTATGGTAGGGCGAGGTTCTCCATTGATTAAAGGCTTGGGAGGATTGTGTTTGCTTTAGGATGGAGGAGCCTGTCTTAAGGTACTTACAACCCATAAATTGTGATTCACAAAGCCTGGTGGGGACAATGTGAGAAAGAAATGAACTCATTTACTGAGATGATTATTATAGTTTTAAACTAATAAGTTAATAGTAATTCAGTAAACTAAAAGTCTATCATCCAGGCTGAAAAATTGGGAAAACTTACAAAACTACTCATCAATCAAACCTGAAGCATCGAATAATTTCCATCCATTAACATATGCATGATAATTACCAGCTCATTAACATATGCAAAGATATGAAGGCATTTTAATTTAGGCAGCAGTTTGTGTAGCTCTATTCAAAGAAGTCAGATTTCAGATAGTTTTTTCCACTCACTGCTCCAGGATGCTTTTGTGCAGAGGGAGGTGATTTCAATTACTGATTTGGAGTCACAATGTAAAAATGCTTTCTAAAACTTAGCCTTTAAGTTTAAACGTATGGGATCAGTCAGCAAAGGGCCATGAACACAATCTGTATCAAATACCCAGTTTTAGTCCCAGAGAAAGAGTAAAGCGTCTTCATTGCCCTTTGTAGTATGCTTATGCTGGTCTGTAGCTTTGTTCTTACAAACTGTAAGAAGCATATGGTTTCTACCAGATGCTTGTGCTGTGTGTTAGAGCCAAAGAACAAAGCTGACTGTGGCCAAGATCAGAGACAGTAAACAGATACTGTTCCACGGACATGTTCAAGAGGTTAAGTCAGGTGCTCAGTGGCAGAATGGTGAGGTCTTCACAATAAACCCTGAAGGTCAAGATAGATTGCTGGAGATTCTACAGTTAAGTCAGGAAAAGGTAATTTGGCTATATTAAATCCCCAGGTAAAGGTGGTATTCAATCAACAAAATAGAGAAGGCGCTGAGGAATAGAAAGTGAGGAAGTAGGAGATGAAGCAGAGGAGTAAGCCTGGGAAATACTTAACAACGCTCTGTAGCCTTGGCTGGGGCTGGGAGGAACCCCTGGAGAAGGTGGCCACAAAGGTTCACTCACATGTTGAACTTCCATCCTCAATGTGATGATAGTATGAAGGGACAGACACTTTTCTCAGGTGGTAATGTCACGAGGGCAGAGCTTTCGTGAATGGCACTGGAAAAGGGATTCTTCTGTCCTTTCTGCCCTGTGTATATGTAGTGTGTATTTCTTCCCAATGATATAGTAACATGGCGCCATCTTGGAAGCAGAGGCCAGGCCCTCACCAGAGACCTTCTTAACCTGTTTTCTCGGACTCAAGAACTATGGGGAGTCAAGTTCTGTTTTAACAGCAGAGACTGAATTAGTCATCAGGCCTTGTGCTTAGTCATTAGGAGCAAGCTGTAGCCCTGGAGGAAGGAGTATCTATCTTCACTACTACCTGTGAGTAGCAAACCTTTGTAGTGTAGAATAGTGGCCATTTACATGTGACTTTGAACACTTAAAATGTGATTTGTTGGAACTAAGACACATCAAATTGAAAACACACATTGGATTTTGAAAACTTGTGAAACACATAAAGGATAGTATGTGTGGGTTGCTAATGTTTAGGATATGCTAGGTTACATAGCATGTTATTAAAATTAATTTCATGTGGGAAAAAAATTTCACTCATCTCTTAGTTCAAATATGACTAGGAGAGCGCTTAAGATGATTTATTCACTCCATTTTTGCTGGATGACACCATTCTAGAACCTCCCATGGCTGCTTTAATCTGAAGCCACTGATTTCAGAGTCCCTCTAGGCTATCTGATAGGATGAATTAGAAGGAAGTAGGGCCTTGTGACAGGGGGTGGAGACTTGTTGTGGCTCTATGACCACACCCATACCCCCCACACTTGACACAGGTATACAGATCTACTGATGGGGGGAGGGGCATGTTTAATTCAAGAGACCACAAAGCGGTCTTTCTTTTTAAGACAGAGCCTCATAACTCCATCTGTATTGTTTATCTTTGAAATCAATTTACCTGCAAGGCAATTAAGAGGCCCAGAGAATAGAGCCGGTGTAAGCCAAAACCACGTTTGATATGGGGACTTGACCCAGACATCTCTTTAAAGTTTTAGCCTGACCTCCACTGGTCACAGGGGTGATGACAGGCTGGACAGGTGAGTCCCAGTCTCCTTGTCTTCACTTAGGCAGAAAGACCCCTTTCTTTGAAACTGTCTTTGCTCCTGTCCTGTGGACTACCACGGCCTTGTGATGTCACAAATATCTGTTACTCTTTGTCAGAAGAGCATTCTGGTAGGCCCAAGAGTCTTGATAATACTTAGTGTATGAGCCATAGCTGTAACTGATGGCTTCTTATTATTACCACGTGTTGCCACATTAAAGACTGTCCACATTCCCCCCCACCCCCCAACCCCCACCCCTTCAACAAGTCGAACCATCGGGTTTCACCTTAGAAGTCACTGCCAGGGTCAGGCTCAGAACTGCAGGTGATCTTACTGAAGTAGGGTACTGGAAGGGAAACAGGTGTTGTGTGACATTGCTAACCACTCTAGGACTTCAGGTCTAAACACAGGTTGAATCTGAAAATACAAAATGTTCCCAAATTCAATACATTTTGAGCACCAATACGATGTTATAAATGGAAATTTCCAAATGCAGGTGTGTTAAAAATGGAGATTGCTCAGCAGTTAAGAACACTGAGTGCTCTTCTAGCGGTCCTGAGTTCAATTCCCAGCAACCACATGGTAGCTCACAACCATCTGTAATGAAATCTGATGCCCTCTTCTGGTGTGTCTAAAGACATTTACAGTGTACTTATATATGTAAAATAAATAAATCTTTAAAAACTGTTTATAAAATCACCTTCAGGTTACGTGTATCAGGTTTGTATAAAACATACATGAGGGAAGTGAAGCAATGGCTCAGTTGTCACAGAATGCTTGCTGTTCTTGCAGAGGACCTGAGTTCGGTCCCTAGCACCTACACATGGCAGCTCATGACCAAATTTAACTGCAGCTCCAGATGCTGAGGTACCTTCTTCTGGCCTCTGAAAACACTTTTACTCCTGTGCACATGCTC